TAAAAATTTTTTGACCCGTGCCTCTCCCCTCTTTCATTGCTCTCCCTTTTGGGACTTTCTCACCCCTCTCTTCACCTTTCTTTTCTTTTCCTTATACCTGCTCTTTTATAACAAATTCTGCTTTGTAAAAACCTCTCGTTTAAAAAACTACCCTTTTTTTCTTTTTTTCACACCCTTTACTTCATCATTCCCCCAATCACCCTCTTTCCTCCTGCCCCCCCCCCCTTTTTAAACCCCAAACTTCTGCCCCACTTTTTTAAAATTTCATTTTTAAAAAATATTTTCCCAAACCCCCTTTAACCCCCCCCCTACTCATCTTTGCCCCTAGCCCCCCCCTTTTTGCCAAAAAGTCGCTTATATTCGCCCCAACTTCCTCCTCCCCTTTGTTTTTTTACAAACTTTTTTCCCCCCCTCTTACTTTTTGGGTTTCCCCCCTTTCCCCTTTTCCCCTTAAAATCTTACTTAAATGTAGCTACAACTAAAAAAATATCCCATATATAGGTTTCCCCCCTATAAAAATGTAACCCTCCTGGGGGTTTCCATTTAACCCTTTTTTCCACCAATACATAATCTAACAAACTTCTTTCATTACGTTTTACAAACCTACCTTTTATTTTTTTATTTAAAAACCCCCTTTTTTTATTTAAAAATATGTATTACTTTTTTTCCAAATTTCTTTCTCACATAGGGCCAATTAAAGGCTCCCCATTTACATTTAAACCCCCCGGGCCCCCCAAAAAAAACTATTTTTTTCCCCCCATAAATTTTTACCCACTTTAGTTTGAAATCCCCAAACCCCATTACTCTCAACTTGGTTCAAAACCCCCCGCATTCCTAAAAATTTCCCAGAATTTTCTCTCTCTCCTCTACAAAATTCTCCCTTTTCCAGGTGCATAAAACGGGTTACCCCTTAAACCCCTTTTTTAATCCAAAACTTTATTTTATCCACATAAACCTTGAATTTAAAATTTGGGGGTTCCCCCTTTTTTCCCGCCATAGCTTTTCTTAACATTTTTGCTTTCTCCTTCTTTAGGGTCTTTAACTTTTAAATTTAAAAACCCCTGAACCCAATCCCCTTTATTCCTCTCCATTGAAAAATCTCCACCCCCTTTTAGCTTTGTTTCACTTAAAGCCAGGACACCAGTTTCTTCTCAAATTTATAACATTTCCCAATATCCCCTTTCTTTTTCATTTTGCAAAAATCCCGCCATTAGATTCCCCCCTTTGCAATTTTCTTCTTCTTTTTCTTTTTAGTAAACTTTCAGGAAAAAAGGGGTTACTAGCCATTGTTCCCGGCATTTTTTTGACTTTTACAAAAACGCATGGCTTACGGAGGAAAGATTCTTAAATTTAAATTCCCCCCTGGAAAATAAAAGGAAAAAGTAAATATATTTTTTATATTTTAATTTAATATAAAATAATAATAAAATATATTTTAATTAAAATATATATATATATATTCAAATGGGGCCCCCGCCCCGGAAAATTTTAATTTCCCTTCAAGGGGTGGTGTTATGCGAAATGTTCGTATGCGAAAATTTAAATTTTTCCCCCTAAAAAATAATGGGGAAAAAAAATTAAACCCTGCAAGGACACCAAAATTATGAAAAAAAAATTTTTTTTCCCCAAAAAAAAAATTTTAAATTTTTGTACACACAAAAATGAAAAAAGGGGGTGCCATTTCATGGGGGCACTTCTTTTAATTTAAGATCTGGTGATGATTTATGGGGGTGGGAGGAGGGGGAGAGGAGTGTTAGTGTTTAGAAGGGGGAACCCCTTCCATTTTCATTGAGGGGGGCAAGGCCTTTTTCCCGGGGGTTCTTCCCTTCTTCTTTTAATGCCCCCTTGGACCAGCTTCAGGGTTTACTGGACTTCTTTTTGTCCCCTAGAGCTCTGTTTCCTCCGGTTTCCCTTTTGATTTGGGCTAAAATGGGCCCTAACATTGTCCTTTAAAAAAGTCACCAGCACGCCCCTTTCAACAGCTGTGTTTGGGTGATTTTTTTCCATAAAGGATTTGCAGTTCAACCCAAATGTGCACCCCAAAAATTTCCCTTTAAAATTTTTGGGAAATTGGAACCCAAAGGATTCCAAATTTGGGAAAAGGCTTCTCAGGGTTGCCCCAAAACCCCTTAAAAACTTTCTTTAAATTTTCCTTTTCCCAAATTTTCACCCTTTTTTTCCACAGGGGTTTGGGACTAGAACCTTTTTTTGGGGCCCAAAGGGTCAAATTTTTTTTTTTTCAACAAAAAGAACGAAAAAACTGTTTTTTTAAAACGGGAAAAATTCCCCAGTGTATGCTTGGGAAGTTACCGCGGAGGTAGCTGGTAAACAATGGGACAGGGGGCACATGTGAGGCTGGCTGAGGCCGCACATTGGACGCGTCTCGGACGAAGTTCGCTGAGCGGGTTTTTGTCTACTATGCGGGGCAAAATTTTAGCGATCAAAGCGTTCGCTATGCGGAATGTTCGCTATGCAAGGCGTTCGCTATGCGGGGGTCCACTGTATATATATATGTATATATGTATATATCTATATATATATTGTGTGTGTGTGTACAGTGGAACCTCTACTTACGAGTTTAATCCATTCCATGACCTTGCTCGTATCTGGATTTGCTTGTTTGCAGAGTCAGTTTTCCTCATTTAAATTAAGTGAAATGGAATTAATCCATTCCAGTGGAATTCCAGGCACAACTAAATACTTCAATAATTTCCCTAATATCAACTCTATGGCTTATTTATCTATCACAATTCATCTAATTCATCCTGTTTAGGCCTATCCTATTCCTAGTGATTTTCCTGGTGCAGTAAATGATGAAATGTAACATAGAAACATGATATACACACTAGGATGAATAAAATACACGTCATTACATATGTGGTTAGCGGTGGTGACAGTCGCCATTGTTGTTGTTGGGGTTTATAGGGCCACCACAGCAGCCATTCCTGCTCCTGACTACGTGTGTAGAGAACCTAGGATAACCCAAAAAAGTCAGACACTGCTGTTTCATGATGTCTGCCACTGCTGCTTCATGTTGTCTGCCACTGCTGCTTCATGTTGTCATATGCCACTGCTGCTTCATGTTGTCATATGCCACTGCTGCTTCATGTTGTCATATGCCACTGCTACCTCATGTTGTCTGCCACTGCAGCTTCATGTTGTCTGCCACTGCTGCTTCATGAAGCCTGCCACTGCTACCTCATGATGTCTGCTCCCACTTTTGCTAGCGTGTCGAACAGCTTTCCAATATGTGAAGGTTGAGGGGCAGTGCCAATTAGACAGGTATTGGACAGTGACGTCATTTGTTTTTTCTTGACCATCGCCAAAGAATTGAACATTTCTCCTACTTTAAGCTCAATTTCAAGGTACTTTTCGTGAAACCAATCAAAATCATATATGTTTCTGTAGTATATCTTCCATTCTAACAAATGAGACCAAAAAAATGAGAATACAACCATAAAAAGCTTATGAAAATATACCGCTAAGGGGAGGCTAATGGCTGAGAAGTGAACTCTGTTATTTATGGTCCGATTTCTTTCATTTTTGGTGTACGTTAAGAAGCACCTTTCCATCACACATTGCCCAAATTTCAATAAGATAGTCCAACAAACAACTGAGATCCAATTCCCTAAATCAAGAGCCCCTCACCAGCATCAAGGAACCTCCCTTGAGGCCCACTCACATCTGGAAATTTCCCTTGCGTCTGGAAGCAAAAAATCGACCGAGCAACTGCTCGTATCTGGAAAAACTTGTGAGTAGAGGCTCCACTGTATATGTATGTATGTGTGTGTGTGTGTGTGTGTGCGCGCATATATATATATATACAGTGGACCCCCGCATAACGATATTAATCCGTTCCTGAGAGCTCATTGTTATGCGAAATTATCGTTATGCGAATGAATTTTCCCCATAAGAAATAATGGAAATCAAATTAATCCGTGCAAGACACCCAAAAGTATGAAAAAAAAATTTTTACCACATGAAATATGCATTTTCCTACACACAAAGAGAAGGATACATGCACAATAGTAGAGTAGTACATGCACAATATATATTGTGCATGTACTACTCTACTAAATGAAGAATAAATGACACTTACCTTTATTGAAGATGCAGCAATGACTGATGAGACACTGTGTCCTGGGAGTGCCTTTTCCTCCTGAGTACTGTAGGTCCTGTTTGGCATTTTCTTCCAGAACAGGCCTTATCACACTGTTTATGCCACTACGATTCTTAAATCTCTCAAACCAACCTTTGCTGGCTTTAAATTCACCAATATGAGCACTAGTTCCAGGCATTTTTCCCTGTTCACCTGGGTGTTAGTTGACTGGTGTGGGTTGCATCCTGGGAGACGAGATTAAGGACCCCAATGGAAATAAGTTAGACAGTCTTCGATGACACTGACTTTTTTGGGTTATCCTGGGTGGCTAACCCTCTGGGGTTAATTGTTTCTTGGTATTCTCAATAAGCCACACAAACAACGGTGCTACAGCAGCAGCAGCAGCAGACAGTGCTACAGCAGCAGCAGCTGACAGTGCTACAGCAGCAGCTGACAGTGCTACAGCAGCAGCAGATGGTGCTACAGCAGCAGCTGACGGTACTACAGCAGCAGCAGCAGGTGACGGTGGTACAGCAGCAGCAGCAGCTGACGGTGGTACAGCAGCAACAGCAGCTGATGGTGCTACAGCAGCAGCAGCTGACAGTGCTTCAGCAGCAGCTGACAGTGCTACAGCAGCAGCAGACGGTGCTACAGCAGCAGCTGACAGTGCTACAGCAGCAGCAGCAGCAGCTGACAGTGCAGCAGCAGCAGCTGACAGTGCTACAGCAGCAGCAGCAGCAGTTGACCACTTTCAACTTTCTTTACACTATTTTTTTTTTTTCCTTATACAAAAGTCTAGATTTGAAAGTAAAATAGTTATTAAATTTGTTTGCTGTAGTTGAAAATTGGTGCACATAAAATAGTTGTTACTGGAAGGTTGATGATCTTTATTTATTTACAGGAAGCAAAGATGAAAAAGAGACTGAAAGTGAAACTAGAAATGGCTAAATTCCTTCAACAAACTTTAGACAATATGGCTGTTCAGGCTAAAGGTCACCAATCGGAGAGTGCCAAGGAGTTTGTATTGTTTTTTGAAAAGGTCAGTCCCAGTATGTTTATGTATCTGTCTCTGCAAATGTTAATGAAATATTAGTAATCTGTCAGATTTTTCTTTATTCACATAGTAAATTACAAACTCGACAAACGTTTTGCTATTATTGCTCTTGTTTATTTTTGCTACATAAGTAACACATGGTATAAAAATATCAACATAGCAAACATCATTTAGCAATTGACTGTTATCTAGATCCCCTTTTTTTAAATTAGATATCTTCCCTTATAATAAATGACATGCCTCCCATATCAAGTACAGTGCAGTATTCAAATTTTTTAATATTAATTCCAATTATGTTTTAATATGTTTACAATATATTGGATTTTTAATAGGTTGCCAAAACTGGTGAAAGCATTAGCAATGAAGAAATTCTTAAGTTTAGCAAGTTATTCGAGGATGAAATTACTCTGGATTCACTCTCCCGACCACAGCTGGTAGCTCTGTGCCGTTTGCTGGAGATGCAACCTTTTGGAACAAATAACTTTTTGAGGTTTCAGTTAAGAATGAAGTTAAGAGCATTAACTGCTGATGACAAGGCAAGTTGATGTGTTTTGTAAAACACTGAATTTTTCAATTATTTCAATCTCCTTAACTTCAGTGTCACACATTGACATGATGATTGAGTGTAATATAGAAAGTTTTAGAGTAATGTAGGTAGTTTTAAATACTATAAGAGTTATTTGCAGCTTATTTCAGATGCTTGATCCTGTTCTCCTTGCTTTTCACACATTGGTATTCTTGATTTATTTTACTATACAGTATACATTATTATTATTATTAACACATCGACCTTCAGGGTGGCCCGAAAAAGAAAAACTTTCATCATCATTCTTTCCATCACTGTCTTGCCAGAGGCTCGCTTACACTACAGTTATAAAACTGCAACATTAACTCCCCTCCTTCAGAGTGCAGACACTGTACTTCCCATCTCCAGGACTCAAGTCCGGCCTGCTGGTTTCCCTGAATCCCTTCATAAATGTTACCTTGCTCACATTCCAACAGCACGTCAAGTCCTAAAAACCATTGGTCTCCATTCGCTCCTATCTAGCACGCTCATGCATGCTTGCTGGAAGTCTAAGCCCCTCGCACACAAAACTTCCTTTACCTCCTCCCTCCAACCTTTCCTAGGCCGACCCCTACCCCGCCTTCCCTCCACTACAGGTTTAAACACACTCGAAGTCATTATATTTTGTTCCATCCACTCTGCATATCCAAACCACCTCAACAACCCCTCCTCAGCCCTCTGGATAATGGTTTTGGTAATCCCGCACCTCCTCCTAATTTCCAAACTTGGAATACTCTTCATTATATTCACACCACACATTGCCCTCAGACATGACATCTCCACTGCCTCCAACCTTCTCCTTGTTGCAACATTCACCACCAATGTTTCACACCCATGTAAGAGCATTGGTATAGCTATACTCTCATACATTCCCCTCTTTGCTTCCATGGACAAAGATCTTTGTCTCCACAGATTCCTAAGTGCATCACTCACCTTTTTCCCCTCATCAGTTCTATGATTCACTTCATCTATCACAGACCCATCTTCTGACACATCCACTCCTAAATATCTGAATATATTCACCTCCTCCATACTCTCTCCCTCCAATCTGATATAAAATCTTTCGTCACCTATTTTTTTTTTTTGCTATCCTCATCACCTTACTCTTTCCTATACAGTGGACATCCGGTTCGCGATACTAATCCGTTCCTGAGAGCTCATCGTAAACCAAAAATATCGGAAAGCGAATCAATTTTCCCCATAAGAAATAATGGAAATCAAATTAATCCGTGCAAGACACCCAAAAGTATGAAAAAAAAACTTTTACCACATGAAATATTAAGTTTAATCCAATAGAATAGTAATTACAGTAACAACAATAACAATAAATAACAATAAATAATGAAAGAATAATTGACACTTACCTTTAATGAAGATCTGGTGATGATTGATGGGATGGGAGGAGGGGAGAGTGTGGATGGTGTTAGCATTTAGAAGGGGAATCCCCCTCCATTAGGACTTGAGGTAGCAAGTCCTTTTCCGGGGTTACTTCCCTTCTTCTTTTAATGCCACTAGGACCAGGTTGAGAGTCGCTGGACCTCTGTCGCACAACATATCTATCCATAGAGGCCTGTACCTCTCGTTCCTTTATGACTTTCCTAAATTGGTTCACAACATTGTCAGTGTAATAGTCACCAGCACGGCTTGCAATAGCTGTCTGAGGGTGATTTTCATCCATGAAGGTTTGCACTTCAAGCCACTTTGCACAGATTTCCTTAATCTTTGAAGTAGGCAACTTCTTCAATTTCTCTCTCCCCTCCTCCGAAGCAGTTTCCTCAGGTGTGGCCTCTTGCTGTTGAAGTTGATCTAGCAGCTCATCAGTGGTTAGTTCTTCATTGTCCTCCTCCACCAACTCTTCCACATCCTCCCCACTAACCTCCAACCCCAAGGACTTCCCCAATGCCACAATGAATTCCTCAACTGGCATAGGCTTCTCGGGGTTAGTCTCAAACCCTTCGAAATCTCTTTTGTCTACACATTGGCCACAGTCTTTTCCAGGCAGAGTTCAAGGTCCTCTTAGTCACTCCCTCCCAAGCCTTACCTATAAGTTTTACACAATTGAGGATAGTAAAGTGATCCTTCCAAAACTCCTTTAGAGTCAATTGAGTTTCTGTGGTCACTTCAAAGCACCTTTCAAACATAGCTTTTGTGTACAGTTTCTTGAAGTTGGAAATGACCTACTGGTCCATGGGCTGCAGGAGAGGAGTGGTATTAGGAGGCAAAAACTTGACCTTAATGAAACTCATGTCCCCACAAAGTCGCTCTGACAAGTCTGTAGGATGACCAGGGGCATTGTCTAATACCAGGAGGCACTTAAGGTCTAATTCCTTTTCAATTAGGTAATTTTTCACACTGAGGGCAAATGCATGATGTAACCAGTAATAGAAAAAGTCCCTAGTGACCCATGCCTTACTGTTTGCCCTCCACAGCACACACAAATTAGCCTTGAGGACATTCTTTTGCCTGAACGCTCTGTGAGTTTCTGAGTGATACACCAATAAAGGCTTCACTTTGCAATCACCACTAGCATTGGAACACATCAACAGAGTAAGCCTGTCTTTCATAGGCTTATGTCCTGGGAGTGCCTTTTCCTCCTGAGTAATGTAGGTCCTGCTTGGTAATTTCTTCCAAAACAGGCCTGTTTTGTCACAATTAAACACTTGTTCAGGTTTCAATCCTTCAGCCTCTATGTACTCCTTGAATTCATGCACATATTTTTCAGCCGCTTTGTGGTCTGAACTGGCAGCCTCACCATGCCTAATCACAATATGTAATCCACTACGATTCTTAAATCTTTCAAACCAATCTTTGCTGGCCTTAAATTCACTCACATCACCACTAGTTGCAGGCAATTTTTTTACCAAATCGTCATGCAACTGCCTAGTCTTTTCACAAATGATTGCTTGAGAGATGCTATCTCCTGCTATCTGTTTTTCATTTATCCACACCAATAACAGTCTCTCAACATTTTCTAACACTTGCGATCGCTGTTTCGTAATCACAGTTGCACCTTTTGCAAGAATAGCTTCCTTGATTGCCGTTTTCTTGCTCACTATAGTAGAGATGGTTGATTGGGGTTTACTATACAACCTGACCAGCTCCGACACACGCACTCCACTTTCGTACTTTGCAATTATCTCTTTCTTCATTTCAACAGTCATTAGCACCCTTGGTCTCGAAGGGTTGGACTGGAGCTTTCTTGGTGCCCATGGTGACTTATTTTGCAAAAACAGCACCAAAAACAGTGATAATATGGATAATATGGAATGTACCAAATGTATCCTTAGATGCACGCACACTGGCTGGCTTGTAAACACTGGCACACATGGGGCAGTTCAGGCCACACATGGACACGTCTCGTACGAGCCACATCGCATACCGGGTTTTGTATCGGGAAGCAAGGCAAATTTTCTGCAATATAATGCATCGGTTACCGGATTTATCGGATACCGATAGCATCGCGAACCGGGGGTCCACTGTATTTACTTTTAATTTTCTTCTTTTACATACGGTACCAAACTCATCCACCAACCTCTGTAACTTCTCTTCAGAATCTTAGTATATTAATATACATTACCAATATGGTAAACCTTCTTATAACATGGACAATATGCTCCTGAAAATCAAAGTGAAGAATATAGGAAAAAATAGGATTATGGTCCAGAGACCTCTAAATTTGCCATACTATATTTTTTAAATATGCTTGGCACAAATTACTACAGCTTATCTTAACCTTTCATTCTAATTGTCATTGCACATTGACATGGAAGTGTGTAGTGAGGGTTGATGTGACACTTCTTAGCTGAGGCTTTTGTGTTGATGTTTTTGCAGAGTTGTTGATTATACTAGAGTGCTCAAGGTTTTCTGTATTAAATCTCTGTTTTCATTTACCCTGTAGTATTGACCTCTTTAACTAGGTCACATTCTGCACTACTCATTGCACAAGTTCTTCTTTTCTCATTCTATATGGTCCAAAGAAGATAAAAGGGAAGCTGTAAACTTGCTGTTTACATATGGTCAAACATTATTGGGAGATTTTTGACAAGAGGCTATAAAGATTGATAGGATGACTTTACAAGTGTGTGTAAAAGAAGAAAGTCAGAAATGAATACAGAAAAGAATGATGACAGTAGTAAGTACTGTACCAAATATGGTAATGAAATGAACGAAAGTCAACTAAAAATATTAAATGTATTTAACATAGAGATTTGAGAGTACAGTAAAGGCATCTGCAGATGGTTCTATGAAGGATGAAGATTTTCAGAGTAGAATAGGAAAATAAAATTATAGGAGTATTGAGTTTCTGGAATGGAAATTTTGTAACTGAATATGGATAGGAAATGTATCATTGAATAGTGTTGTACATGTATAGTGGTGCTGAGTGTCTGACATGCACATGGGCATGAAATAGTCTGTGGATGTTACAATGCAGCAGTTGCAGGCAGTGAAAATATATTATCAGATGTTTGTGATGTAAGTGTTTTGCTGAAAATAATTAAGTTAGGGCGAGATATAAGCAGGTATTGACAGAAAGGTGGGCTAGTACTGGGGGGGTTGAAGAGGGTTGGAATAGTTTTAAAAATGCAGTATTAGAATGTGGGGCAGAAGTTTGTGGTTATAGGAGGGTGGGTGCAGGAGGAAAGAGGAGTGATTGGTGGAATGATAAGTAAAGGGTGTGATAAAAGAGAAAAAGGTAGCTTATGAGAGGTTTTTACAAAGCAGAAGTGATATAAGAAGGGCAGAGTATATGGAGAGTAAAAGAAAGGTGAAGAGAATGGTGAGAGAGAGTAAAAGGAGAGCAAATGATAGAGTAGGAGAGGCACTGTCAAGAAATATTGCTGAGAATAAGAAAAAATTTTGGAGTGAGATGAACAAGTTAAGAAAACCTAAGGAACAAAGGAATTTGCCAGTTAAAAACAGAGTAGGGGAGTTGGTAGATGGGGAACTGGAGGTATTGGGAAGATGGCTGGAATATTTTGAGGAACTTTTAAATGTCGATGAAGAAAGGGAGGCAGTAATTTCATGCACTGGCCAGGGACATATAACATCTTTTAGGAGTGAAGAAGAGCAGGATGTGAGTGTGGGGGAAGGTGTGTGAGGCATTACGTAGAATGAAAGGGGGTAAAGCAGTTAGAACTGACAGGATCATGACAGAAATGTTAAAAGCAGGAGTAATTATAGTGTCAGAGTGGTTGGTATTTTTGTTTAATAAATGTATGAAAGAGGGGAAGGTACCTCGGGATTGGCAGAGTGTTTGTATAATTCCACTATATAAAGGGAAGGGGGACAAAAGATTGTAAAAATTATAGAGGAATAAGTTGCTGAGTATACCAGGTAAAGTGTACGGTTGGGCTATTATTGAAAGAATTAGAGGTAAGACAGAGAGGACTTCCAGCAGGCATGCATGAGCGTGTTCGATAGGAGTGAATGGAGACGAATGGTATTTGGGACCTGACGATCTGTTGGAGTGTGAGCAGGGTAATATTTAGTGAAGGGATTCCAGGACTTGAGTCCTGGAAATGGGAATTACAATGCCTGCACTCTAAAGAAGGGGTTTGGGATATTAGCAGTTTGGAGGGATATGTTGAGTATCTTTTTATGTATATGCTTCTGAACTGTTGTGTTCTGAGCACCTCTGCAAAAACAGTGATTATGTGTGAGTGAGGTGAAAGTGTTGAATGATGATGAAAGTATTTTCTTTTTGGGGATTTTCTTTCTTTTTGGGTCACCCTGCTTCGGTGGGAGACGGCCGACTTGTTAAAAAAAAAAAAAAACAGAGAGGAGGATTGCAGATGAGCAAGGAGGCTTCAGAATGGGTAGGGGATGTGTAGATCAGGTGTTTACATTGAAGTATATATGTGAACAGTATTTAGATAAAAGTAGGGAAGTTTTCATTGCATTTATGGATTTAGAAAAGGCATATTATAGAGTGGATAGGGGAGCAGTGTGGCAGATGTTGCAAGTGTATGGAATAGGTAGTAAGTTACTAAATGCTGTAAAGATTTTTTATGAGGATAGTGAGGCTCAGGTTAGGGTGTGTAGGAGAGAGGGAGATTAATTCCCGGTAAAAGTAGGTCTTAGACAGGGATGTGTGATGTCACCATGGTTGTTTAACATATTTATAGATAGGGTTGTAAAAGAAGTAAATGCCAGGGTGTTGAGGAGAGCAGTGGGATTAAATTATGGGGAATCAAATATGAAATGGGAGTTCATACAGTTACTTTTTGCTTTTGGGGGATTCTATAGAAAAGTTGTAGAGTTTAGTGGACGAGTTTGGGAGGATGTGTAAAGGTAGAAAGTTGAAAGTGAACATAGATAAGAGTAAGGTGATGAGGATATCAAACAATTTAGATGAAGAAAAATTGGATATCACATTGGAGGGAGGGAGTATGGAAAAAGTAAATGTTTTCAAATATTTGTGAGTTGACTTGTCAGCAGATGGGTTTATGAAGGATGAGGTTAACCATAGAATTGATGAGGGGAAAAAGGTGAGTGGTGCATTGAGATACCTGTGGAGACAAAAATTGTTATCCATGGAGGCAAAGAAGGGAATGTATGAGAGTATAGTGATACCAACACTCTTATGTGGGTGTGAAGCATGGGTTGTAAATGCTGCAGTGAAGAGGCAGCTGGAGGCAGTGATTTCATGTCTAAGGGTAATATGTGGTGTAAATATTATGCAGAAAATTTGCAGTGTGGAAATTAGGAGGATGTGTGGAGTTACTAAAAATACTAGTCAGAGGGCTGAAGAGGGGCTGTTGAGGTGGTTTGGTCATTTAGAGAGAATGAAACAAAGTAAAATGACTTGGAGAGCGTATAAATCTGTACGGGAAGGAAGGCTGGGTAGGGGTTGTCTCCAAAAAGGTTGGAGGGAGAAGTAAAGGAGGTTTTGTGGGTGAGGGGCTTGGGCTTCCAGCAAGCGTGCATGAGCATGTTATATAAGAGTGAAAGGAAACAAATTCTTTTTAAGACCTGATGAGCTGTTGGGGTGTGAGAAGAGTAATATTTTGTGAAGGGATTCAGAGAAACCGGTTAGCTGGACTTGAGTCCTGGAAATGGGATGTACAATGCCTGCACTTTAAAGGAGGGGTTTGAGATATTGGCAGTTTGGAGGGACGTGTAAACTGTTGTATCTGCGCACCTCAGCAAAGACAGTGATTGTGTATGAGTGATGATGAGAGTGTTGAATGATAATGAAAGTTTTTTTCTTTTTTGTTTTTTTTTTTCTTTTTGGGTTTTTCTTTCTTTTTGGGTCAACCTGCCTCATTGGGAAACTGCCGACATGTTTAAAAAAAAAAAATGTAGATTGAAAGGTTTGATTCAGAGCTTTGAAGATTTATTGTATGTTCTGGTCATTTAGAAAGAATGGAATAATATAGGTTGGGAAGGAGGTTTTAGAAACCAAGGGTGGATGAACAACATAGTGACAAGAGGGGTGGGAGAGAGGTTTTGAAGTTTGGGCTTGAATATATAGCGAAGTGAAGACAAGTGAACGTGGGATTTACATTTTGTTGAGCTTCAAGTAAATTAGTATTTGTGAAAGGACTCTGGGTAAACAGCTAAACTTGTTTGAGTTCTGGATATCTAAAACTACTGTACTGTGGCTGCACATAGAAAGTGGGGTGGAAAGAGATTGTTGTGGGTGATCAGCATTGTATCCAAGTTTCTATGAACTTCTGGAAAGGCAGCTGGAGAGTTATTGTTAACAAATATTTATTTTCTGTTCACCCTACCTCGATGGGAAGTATCAAAGTTAATTTAATGTAAGTGTTTAGAAAGAAGTACGTTGAAAGAAAAAGTTTAGAAAACTATAATGACTTGAGTTTCTGTGATGTAGTCATTGCTATGCAAATTCTCATGATCACAACTTTTGTTTGGTATGGTACAGATCATTGAACATGAAGGCGTGAATTCTCTGGCAGTGTGGGAGCTCCAGCAGGCCTGTCGTGCCAGAGGGATGAGGGCATATGGCTTATCCGAAGAACGACTTCGCCTGCAACTGAATCAGTGGCTTGAGTTAAGCCTTAAAGAAAAGGTGCCTCCATCTCTGCTGCTCTTATCACGAACACTGTACCTTCCAGAAAGTGTCCAGACCTCTGACACATTGGCTGCCACTATCTCAACTCTACCAGAAGAGGTAGGTTTCAGAGAGAATCTGGTAAAAGTAAGCATATACCAGAAGCTTTTTATTTGATTTTTAGGATCTTCTTACAGATATTAAACATTTTTATTAATTGCAGTTGTAGAAGAGATAACCATACTAAGAAAGAGTGGTAATATGTGAATGAAAAGAAGCTGGATATGCTATCATTGAGGGTAATTATTAAGAGGAATGGGAAAGGTAAAATAGTAATTAGATTGGTTCTATTAAAGAGTAAGAGATAAAGACATTACTGTGTCAGTAACGAACAATTGTGGTAATAAGAGGCATAAATATTTAAATTTGAGAATTGAGTCATTCAGAATGAAAGCATACAAAATAATATAAGTTATTTGGTGGTAGACTGGTGTAGCTCAGTGGTGAAGTGCTCATCTTGCAATTGATGAAAGGCAGAATCAATTCCCAGGTAGGGTCAGATGTAAGGATTTGGAATGAATTACCATAAAATCATGTATTTTGGGGTTTGAGTTACGATAGTTTTGAGGTATGCTAAATCTTTTGAAACAGAATATCATAACTCAAGGGACTTATTTTTATTTTTTGTGTGTGCACATGTGTATGCATGTGTGTGCATGCATGTGTATGCACATTGTGTGTGTGTGCGTGCATGTTTGCACACACGCTTGTGCACATGAACATTTGTTTTATTTATTTAGTAGTATTTATTTATACTTAATTTATATTTATTGCCTTTTTTCTAATATATAAATTTTGTTTTAAATCATCAGGTTGCCACACGGACTAAGGCAGCCATTGGCAAGCGAGAGGGTAAGATTGACAATCTCACTCGTTTAGAGGTAATCAAGGCAGAAGAGAGGAAGATTGCTGAGGACAAGAAAGAGTTAGAGAGGATCCAGGAGGAGAAGAAGTTAAAGGAGGAACTCGCAAAGAAGAAAGTGGAGGAGGTTAGCAAATACTTGTTTTAATGTGACTATCTATCTTGTGGAATTTCAAATTTGTGCAAAATTTCAATTTCTTGAAGGGCTGGAATAATATATGAAGCCTAAAACTAATTGGAGGGAAGGGCCAAATTGCATTTTATATATAAATAATGATAAAATCTTATTGCTTAAATCTTTTGTATAATTCTTCTTTAGAATATTAAGTGTTATGTGCAGTAGATCCTCGAGTAATGTGTGGGTTACGTTCATTAAAATCAGTGCTTTATTCAAATTAGTGTTAAGTAAAGTGAAGAACATATGGGTAAGTAGGGTTACATTCCTTAGACAAGCAAAAAAATAAGGCAAACAAACTTCTTTGAAAGTAGGCTAAAGAGTGATAGAGAATTTTATCATACCTTCAGTTCTAGTTCTTCCTGCTTGTTGATAGGAAATTGAGAGAGATGCTTGATGTGGCCCTTCTCTGAGGTGGATGGCTGTGGTGTGAGTGTTGATGTCAGTGGAAAGTTGTGAAGTTGATGATTGTACAGAATTGCTGAAGAATTCTGTATTGCATCTGCTCTGTTTACCTGGCAGTTCTTTATACAGCATATATTGTTGACTGTGGCACTTTATCCCATGACACTTTCATGTGTGCTAGTGCATCAGTAATCTTAAAAATATGCCAGAACTTTGGCACTCAAATGTCTGAGCTGTCATCTATTGGTACTAAGAGTTTTTCCATAACCCTGTGTGTGATAATGCCTTAATGTAGTGATTCTATCAAAGATATTGTATTAACCCTTTGACTGTCGAAGGGCCCAATCCTGAAGTTGCTCCTGGTGTCGCAAAATATTCGAAAAAAAAAAAAAAAATTTTTTTCTTATGAAAATGTTAAGATTATTTTTCTGATTGTTTTAGTCCCAAAAAAAAATTTTTCCCATCAGTACTTACCGAGATATAGAGTCCTGAAGTTTGCTGAAATTGATCTGCTGGCGGCAACAGCAGCGACTGCCGCTCACCCGGTAAACTTTTATTTACTTGTATTCGATGGTTTCTTGTTTTTTTCACTATTTTATTTTTTCACATAACTTTTGTGGCCTGTGAGACCAAATTATTGTGCAATGTTCAAATATACACTCGTTGAATGAAACACAATTATAGCAAAAACACTCGTATCATTATAATGTTGCTAAAACTTGTTTACACAAACAAAACAATGTAAACAAATGTTTATTACGTTTGCTTTATAATATATATACATATGTACAAACACTGGACACTTTATTAGAAGTGCTGCAGCTTGTGGAATTCTTTGAAACATGGGTATAAGCAATGGTGTCTTACACTCCTCACACATAAACGAGTGTCTCTGCGTTTTTGTTGGCGTTTTTGCGGTATGTCCACAGACAAAACACGTCTTCTGAGCATTTTCTTGGGCAGTAGTACAGGCATGGTATGGGGTAGTGATCACCAGGCCTCAGACGAAGGACATGTGTTGATAATTTCGGGGGCGCTGGTCTATTGCAGGTGTTTGTTTCTTGGTACTTGAATATTATTTGTCTGATAACTGACAAACAAATTTCACCATATTTGGGTTTGTTTTTGGGTCTTCAACTTATACATATTATAAGCATTCAGCATGGAAATGTCAAGAAGATGGAAAACAGTTTTATGTACCACTTATAACTCTTGCGAACACAGTCAGCAAACCCAATCTGCATGTCACATTTGTCCACTAAGCGCATATTGAGGTTGTAATCCATCACAGCTGCAGGTTTTACAATAGGTTCATTGGTCCCTCATTCGCTTGCCAGTCTCTACCATTTCGTGTCATGACTATGTCATCAGTGTGACATCACGTTTGTCATGCCACCGAAATGCCATGATGTCATTGGCAGCAAACACCTGCACTTCCCTCTACGACTGCCAGCTTCGAACCTAGGCATATGTTTACGCCCTTCTACGCACTGTGCCACACACATCTGTCATGTTCCCCTCGCAAGAAATCACTGAGTATAGGGCTTGTGTACCATTTGCCCAGTATATAAAATATGCCCCTTACCAAGATATGGCTCCATCATTGTTCTAACCACATCACCAAGATACCCATAAACTTTCCCGGTATCTTCCATTGTTTTACCCCCCAGGGACACAATTATATCCAAAACCAGACCAGTTTTGCAATCACACAGAACAAATAACTTTTTACCAAAGCGTTTCCTCTTGCTTGGGATATACTGCTTGAATGAGAGTCTTCCTTTGAACAAAATCAAAGACTCGTCAATAACAAGCTTCCTGAAGGGATAAAAATACATACAGCACTTTTGTTTCAGGTACATAAACACACGTCTGATCTTATATAACCCCGTCGCTTCTGTCAGGCCTGGTTTTGTCTGAAAAGTGTAACATACGTAACAGAACACAAATCTATTCACTGGTATAATGTCACTGAAAGCAGGGGTTGAAATCAGGCGGTCTGTCGTCCAGTATGTGCTGAACTTGCTTTTACACATGTGGCATAAGCATTATTGTGGCAAAGAACAGATACATCTCTGCCACAGTTGTGTCCTTCCACTGGGTAGGCGTGATCTTGGGTGAAAGCATAGTGTTTGCCATGGTGTAACTCATAGTATGTAATTTTGCTTTCCCTGACAACAATGTCCATCAGGGTTCATCGAAGAACAACTGAAAACCCTTCCAGTTCAGTGGGATTGTTCCCAAGTTTACATGATGGCCGTATTCCCTTGTCCTCCAACAAAAATCATGGGGATTGGGAACAAACTCGTCATCTTGATGCCAATCCCAGATGCGGTCAGCTGGTGCGTTCTGGATATTGTAAAAGTCGTTTGTGGTTTTTGCAGGTTGTGGTTGTGGTTGTGGAGAGTGTGGGTCGGCCGAAGCAGGTTGTAGTTGTGCAGAGTCAGCAGCGCGGGCACTACGTGGCCCGCTGCTGGTGTCACATGACTCATGGCACCGTCACTATCACCACCACCGCCTGCTGCCTCACTCACATCATTTATACCCATCGTAACAATATCATCAAACTTCACTATCAGGACGTGGTGTAGGGCCACGGGATGTGCTCCGAGATGTACTTTCCCTTTCCCCTTGGGAAAAGCATATGGCACACTACCAACAGCATGCGAAAGTCGTACTACTGCCGTTTTACGGGGAATATTCACCCTCACTGTCACAACTAGAAGTGCTTTTTAATAACCTTGAAATCACTATCACTATCACTTGCACTGCTCACATCTGAGTCTTGTACACGGGGAAATAGTTTCCTCTTTCGTCCTGTACAGGTGAATATGAACGAGCCGGCCTAGCCCAGAGGTGGATGGTTGTGGGTCATCTGGGTTTTCATCACTAATTATGTTTTTCCGGGTAATTTTCTCGGTCACACCCCCTTCCAAAAACAGGAATTCACTTTCACTGACACTATCATCACTGTTGAGCTATCACTTGGGAACAAAAGACCTCCAATCCGCCGAGGAGTGAGGAACTTCTTACTGCGAGGCATGGTGAAAATGGACTACCAAGATGGCGTTCCCACAATGCACCGCTGAGTCCCAGATTTTTTTCACAGGGTGCACACCGACCACTGAGACCCATTCTCTCTCGTGTAGGCCTACCAGCCCTCTCCCGCTCGATTTGAAGCCGCTAGAATTTATGCGTATAGATACGTCAAACACGGTATCTCCCATGACGTACATATACGACCGCGACAGTCAAAGGGTTAATTGATTAAAGCACAACATGCACATTTGGGTCCAGAGCTTTCAAAATTTAAGAATGGCTTCAGAATTAGTAAGAATCAGTAGAACCTTGAATGCAAGGCTCCTTTTTGGTCAGGTACATTTTTACTGCAGGAATAAACTGATTCTGGAAGTACTGAACAGTGCCTCAGTCGTCCATGCTGTGTTGCCCTTTCAAAGCATAGAGAAGCTGTTTGTAATAAATTACAATAAGTTTGCACCTTAAATTATCTATTGCATTAGCATATAGAAACAAGCTCATGTAATTTCTTGCTGCCTTGAACCCAAATGCAAATTTTTCTTGCTTGGACAGCATGTGTTTCCAATATAACCCCTGTCCTGTCAGCTTTAAATGCTTTATTGGCAGTGTAACCCCTTGGATGTAATTTTCACAATACGTTATGGACAGAAATTTCCTGCAGTAATGTGTGATGAGCTGATGCATTCTCACTAAACTTTGCTATGAAGTTGTAAGCGGGTATTTAAGTTGGTTAAACTGACCAGCACTAAATGTACACTCTTATGAGGGCTTGCCTTCCTTTCACATACACTTCCATAGTAAGATGAGGCTTTCAGCCTTATCTGACCACTAAGTAGGACACGTTCCTTTGTTTTTTCCTCTTTTCACACATTCAGTAACTTCTTTTGTCAATAAACTGGCCATAACCCACTGAGACAGGGTGCCCTAAAAAGAAAAATGAAAGTTTCTCTTTTTTAAATTTAGTAATTTATACAGGAGAAGAGGTTACTAGCCCCTTGTTCCCAGCATTTTAGTCCCCTTTGACACTTATGGCTTACGGAGGAAGAATTCTGTTCCACTTCCCCATGGAGATAAGAGGAAATAAACAGGAGCAAGAACTAGTAAGGAAATAGAAGAAAACCCAGAGGGGTGTGTGCGTATATATATGCTTGTACAAGTATGTGTCCTAGGTAGTAGGTTGGTAGACAGCAACTGCCCAGGGAGGTATTACCATCCTACCAAGTGAGTGTAAAACGGAAACCTGTAATTGTTTTACATGATGGTAGGATTACTGGTGTTTTTTCTATCTCATAAGCATGCAAGATTTCAGGTACGCCGTGCTACTTCTACTTACACTTAAGTCACACTACACATACATGTACAAGCATATATATACATGCACCTCTGGGTTTTCTTCTATTTTCTTTCTAGTTCTTGTTCTTGTTTATTTCCTCATATCTCCATGGGGAAGTGGAACAGAATTCTTCCTCCGTAAGCCATGCGTGTTGTAAGAGGTGACTAAAATGCCGGGGGCAAAGGGCTAGTAACCCCTTCTCCTGTATAAATTACTAAATTTGAAAAGAGAAACTTTTGTTTTTCTTTTTGGGCCACCCTGCCTTGGTGGGATATGGCCGGTTTGTTGAAAAAAAAAAAAAGTACGTGTAGCGTGACTGAAGTGTAAGTAGAAGTAGCAGACGTACTTGGAACCTTGCATGTTTGTGAGACAGAAAAAAGACACCAGCAATCCTACCATTATATAAAACAATTACAGGCTTTTGTTTTGCTCTCACTTGGCAGATGGTAGTACCTCCTTGGGCAGTTGCTGTCTACCAACTTACTACCTATAATTCAGTAACCATCCCATTTTATTTAGCTGTCTGCTACTACTACTACTAATACTAATAATAATAATAATTTAGAATATTGCATTTCTTGAGAGCCTGTTCTTTCAAAAAATTCACAGGTGCTCACAAATCAAACAGTAAATACACCAGCTGCAGTAACAAGAATGCTAAGGCTTTTACTCAAGAGTGACAGTATGTTCATCAGTATTGTAAGCTCTGGAAAAGTGGTGTGCTTGCGGCTGTAACTTGAAGGGATAACTGATTCTTGACTCTTAACAGATGCTGGTAACTAAATTAATACAGTCTTGGAATTGTAGAAGAAAAGGCTTTTTCTACAAATGGTTTTTCCCCAATAGCACAAAGCTCAGTAATTTGTAGAAACATTTCTGAGCCTGATGTAAAAGGTACAGGCATATCAACAAGATAGTACCTTGCTTCTTTATACTTCACATCTTTAAATGTTAAAACAGTTTAAATTCAATTCTTGCCTTGATAGAGCCAATGTAGCTTCAAGTAGGGATTAGTGAGAACTCCATTTGGGAGCAAAAATGCCAGTCTAACTACACAATTCAGTACAGATTGAAAGTCATAAGCAAGTAATCAGACAAACTTCCAGCAGGCGTGCATGAGCGTGTTCGATAGGAGTGAATGGAGACGAATGGTATTTGGGACCTGACGATCTGTTGGAATGTGAGCAGGGTAATATTTAGTGAAGGAATTCAGGGAAACCGGTTATTTTTATATAGCCGAACTTGAGTCCTGGGAATGGGAAGTACAATGCCTGCACTTTAAAGGTGGGGTTTGGGATATTGGCGGTTTGGAGGGATATGTTGTGTATCTTTACACGTATATGCTTCTAAACCATTGTATTCTGAGCACCTCTGCAAAAAAGTGATTATGTGTGAGTGAGGTGAAAGTGTTGAATGATGATGAAAATATTTCCTTTTGGGGGATTTTCTTTCTTTTTGGGTCACCCTGCCTTGGTGGGAGACGGCCGACTTGTTAAAAAAAAAAAAAATCACATTTTCTGTTTTAGGTAAAATGAGAACATTTCCCACAATGAATGTTTCACAGTTCTGTATTATAATAACCTTGTTAATCTTTCTTTCTTTCAACACACCGGCCGTATCCCACCGAGGCGGGGTGGCCCAAAAGGAAAAACAAAAGTTTCTCCTTTTACATTTAGTAATATATACAGCAGAAGGGGTTACTAGCCCCTTGCTCCCGGCATTTTAGTCGCCTCTTACAACACGCATGGCTTACGGAGGAAGAATTCTGTTCCACTTCCCCATGGAGAAACCTTGTTAATATGATACTTTTAAATGCTGCTTGTTATGTCCAATCTCATCCTCAGTTGTAGTAAAACAACACAGGGAAGAAAAGCTGCTATAAATTATGTTTACAGTTAGTGTGAATGTTGACTCATCACTTCTTGCAGGAGGCCCAGCGACAAGAAATGGCTGTGCAGGTAGCTACTGCTGCTGCAGTAGAAACTCAGAGAGAAGTTCTTCAAGCAGGGTCAGATGTGTCTTTGGTACCACCATTAGCAAATAAGATCCTCTCTGAAGGAGTGCAGGTCACTAAAGCTACAGTCTCTCTCTCAGGAGAGATAGAAGTAAGTCTGACACTGTACATAAATTCATTGGTTAAATTTTTTTGTTACATCACAATACAGCAGACAGCATAGGCAATACAGAAATGAAAAGAGGAACTGAGTGTAAGGTGGAAAAACGTCTAAAGAATGAATGATATCTTTTGCATTTATTGACAGATGAAATAAATAAAATTAATACAGTGCTGCTGTATATAATATTGTATTTTTAAGTTATGCAGAATACACAGAAAACCTTTCATTTTCCCTTGACAAAATATGAATATTTTTGTCCTTTGTAAACTTAGTATTTTTTTAAATAATTTGGTACTCTATATTCTTTCAGAGTTGGCTATAACAAATCATTATGAATAATTTTAACAGGGAAGAAAAGTAATACTAAAACTTTTTTTTTTTTTTACAGATAGATCAATTGTAGTTAATAAATATAGTGATGTTTTCAAAAGTATGGAAGATAAGAATTGTAACATTAAATTTGCTTGCATCACACATTTTAAAGCCACTATACTTTTTTTAAATAATCAGGTAAAATTTTATTGATTGAATAATAGTGTGTTAAGTACTGTAGGGCCCCAATTATATTGCAGGTTAGGTTCCAGGCTACTGCTGGAAAGCAGACATCAAAAGAAAGCAGAACGCCATTTTTTCCACTTATAAATGCATATAAATGCCAGATAACAAGTTTACACTAACATATTACATTAGCAATAGAACTAGGCATTAAAAACAATAAAAAATCAAATACACACACACAGTACACTCATTATTTACCTCAAAATATTTGTAGTCTTAATGTAGGGCAAAAGGAGAGTAGTATTTACTGTAAGAAGTTAGGTGTGGTAGCCCTCCTGGCCACCCCCACCCACACATAATATACTACGATGATGCTTAACCCCTTGACTGTCGCAACCCCAAATCCTGAGGTGTCTTCTGGTGGCGCAAAATTAAAAAAAAAAAAAAAATTTCTTACGAAATGATAGAGAATCTTTTCCTGATTGTAATGACACCAAAAGAATGAAATTTGATGGAAAACTGACGGAGTTATGCTCTCCTGAAGTTAGCAACCTCGGCGATATTTACGAATTGGCGATTTCGCCCACTTTGAGCCCTATTTTCAGCTAATTCCATTTTTCCAGTCGACCAAACTCATAGCTATTGCTTTAGAACTCCATTTCTCTTATCAATTGAGTACAAGAAACTGCCCATTTACCGATATCAACTACCCAATAACGCTGTCAGAAATTTGCAATTTGGCCAATTTCACGAAAATTAAAAAATATGACAATTTCAAATTAGGGTCCAGAATGAACAATGCAGACATTCCTGGCTCTAAAATAACATTTTCTTTGTTCATCAGTCACATCTCCAGGCTCTTCTGATATTACTCTTGCTTTCTATTTTGAATTTTTATTCAAACAAAAAATAGAAGATTTATTGTTATGCAGACAACTGCAATATAGTAATAATTGTATAAATAATGTCAACCCATTCATGACTGCATATTAGAATGGCTACTTGGACATTTATTGGAAAATGACATCATTTGTTTACTTTTGAACATCGGCACAAATCAAACATTTCCCCTACTTTGAGCTCCATTTCAAGGTTCTTTTCATAGTAAAATCAATCTAAATCACCTCTATTTCTATAATATGCTTTCTATACTATCAAATGAGACCAAGAAAAAGAGAATACAACCATAAATACTATACGAAAATAGACCACAAATTCGGCATTTTAATAAAAAACGGTCAGGGTTTTTTTTCTCATCATGCACTGCGTGCTGCAGGATTTTTTTTTATATGGTGCACACTGACCACACACACCCATTCTCTCACATGTGGGCCTACCAGCTTTCTCCTGCTTGATTTGAAGCAGGAGAAAGCTAGAATTTATGAGTATATATACATCAAAAACGGTGGCTCGTAAGATGTATATATACGACTAAAACAGTCAAAGGGTTAAAGCTCTGTAGAGTGATAAAATTAATGTACAGTACACTTATTACTTACCTTAAAATATATGTAGTCTTAATGTAGGGTGAAAGGTGAAAAGTATTTATTTGTAGAAAGTCATGTGGTAGGTAGGGTAGTGTAGGGAAGACACCGGCCCCCCCCACCCACTATTTTAAAAAACGTGTTCGGGTTTTATGGTCATAAACACTCATACAACCCCTTACTTGTGTACAAGTTGTTCCACAGGGGTACAGTAGAAAAAAAAAGGGCCAACACTTCCATTCTCATGAAATTTTTTAGAAGGAATGAGCTCTGAAAAATTATATTATTAAAAATTATTTTTTTACAAGTTATTATTATTATTAAAGTTGTTATTATAATCAAAATAAAAAAGAAGCAGTAAACCCCAAGGTCTGAATTACTACATTAGAGTAAGACATACAAAATTTAATTTTTTCTCTACGTTACCCCCCCAGTTTTTTTGACTAGAGAAAAGTAATTCTTCCGCCCTCCAAAAAAAGCCATTTTTGAAAACAAATTCATATTATGTAAATTTTTTTCGTGGGGTATTTAATTTTTTATATGTTTATTAAGTTTTTTCTTATGAAATTTTTTAAGAAAATATCATAGTGATTAATAAATAAAGGGGATTAAATCTGGAGTTCGAGAGATTTAGGCAAGGAAGGGGTAGAGTAAAGTTAAAGATCATTAGGAAAGGGGAAAAGAGAATATGAAGTGTAAAAATTTAAGAATTATGTGGTTAAAGTAAAGGTTGGATGCGAGAAAATGGGTCATAATAAGCGTGTATGCACCTGGAGAAGAGAGGAATGCAGAGGAGAGGAGAGATTTTTGGGGATGTTTGTGAAAGTATAGGACCCTTTGAACCAAGTGAGAGAGTTTTAATTTGGTAGGGGACTTAATGCTAAAGTAGGAAAACTTTTTAGAGAGGGTTGGGAGGAAGTTTGGGGGGCCCGTGTAAAAGATAATGGAGCCCTTTTATTTAACTTTGTATAGAAAGGGGTTTAGTTTATAGGTAAAACATATTTTAAAAAAAAGAGGATAAATAAGTATCACGATAGAGGGGGCGAAATGACAGTATTTGTTTTGGGTTTGTATTGGGAAAAAAGACTGTTGAGTAGACTTCAGGGTTAAAAGTTTAAGAGGGGCCACAGATTATCAGATCACTTTCTGTTGTAGCTCACTGAGAGTAAAAAAGGGAAAATGGGATACAAGGAGAATAGAAAACATAGGGGAAAAGAGGGTGAAGGTTTATAAAATAAAAGAGGAGGCAGTTAGGGTAAGATAAAACAGCTATTGGAGGAAGATGGGCTAATGAAGGGATAGGGAATGGGGTCGAAGAGGTATGGGGTAGGTTTAAAAAAAGTAGTATTAGAGTGTTCAGCAGAAGTTTGTGGTTAAAGGGAAGTGGGTGCAGGAGGGAAGAGGAGCGATTGGTGGAATGATGATGTAAAGAGAGTAGTAAGGGAGAAAAAGTTAGCATATGAGAAGTTTTTACAAAGTAGAAGTGATGCAAGGAGGGAAGAGTATATGGAGAAAAAGGAGAGGTTAAGAGAGTGGTGAAGCAATGTAAAAAGAGAGCAAATGAGAGAGTGGGTGAGATGTTATCAACAAATTTTGTTGAAAATAAGAAAAAGTTTTGGAGTGAGATTAACAAGTTAAGAAAGCCTAGAGAACAAATGGATTTGTCAGTTAAAAATAGGAGAGGAGAGTTATTAAATGGAGAGTTAGAGGTATTGGGAAGATGGAAGGAATATTTTGAGGAATTGTTAAATGTTGATGAAGATAGGGAAGCTGTGATTTCGTGTATAGGGCAAGGAGGAATAACATCTTGTAGGAGTGAGGAAGAGCCAGTTGTGAGTGTGGGGGAAGTTCGTGAGGCAGTAGGTAAAATGAAAGGGGGTAAGGCAGCCGGGATTGATGGGATAAAGATAGAAATGTTAAAAGCAGGTGGGGATATAGTTTTGGAGTGGTTGGTGCAATTGTTTAATAAATGTATGGAAGAGGGTAAGGTACCTAGGATTGGCAGAGAGCATGCATAGTTCCTTTGTATAAAGGCAAAGGGGATAAAAGAGAGTGCAAAAATTATAGGGGGATAAGTCTGTTGAGTGTACCTGGTAAAGTGTATGGTAGAGTTATAATTGAAAGAATTAAGAGTAAGACGGAGAATAGGATAGCAGATGAACAAGGAGGCTTTAGGAAAGGTAGGGGGTGTGTGGACCAGGTGTTTACAGTGAAACATATAAGTGAACAGTATTTAGATAAGGCTAAAGAGGTCTTTGTGGCATTTATGGATTTGGAAAAGGCGTATGACAGGGTGGATAGGGGGCAATGTGGCAGATGTTGCAAGTGTATGGTGTAGGAGGTAGGTTACTGAAAGCATTTGAAGAGTTTTTACGAGGATAGTGAGGCTCAAGTTAGAGTATGTAGGAAAGAGGGAAATTTTTCCCAGTAAAAGTAGGCCTTAGACAAGGATTGTGATGTCACCGTGGTTTGTTTAATATATTTATAGATGGGGTTGTAAGAGAAGTAAATGCGAGGGTCTTGGCAAGAGGCGTGGAGTTAAAAGATAAAGAATCACACACAAAGTGGGAGTTGTCACAGCTGCTCTTTGCTGATGACACTGTGCTCTTGGGAGATTCTGAAGAGAAGTTGCAGAGATTGGTGGATGAATTTGGTAGGGTGTGCAAAAGAAGAAAATTAAAGGTGAATACAGGAAAGAGTAAGGTTATGAGGATAACAAAAAGATTAGGTGATGAAAGATTGAATATCAGATTGGAGGGAGAGAGTATGGAGGAGGTGAACGTATTCAGATATTTGGGAGTGGACGTGTCAGCGGATGGGTCTATGAAAGATGAGGTGAATCATAGAATTGATGAGGGAAAAAGAGTGAGTGGTGCACTTAGGAGTCTGTGGAGACAAAGAACTTTGTCCTTGGAGGCAAAGAGGGGAATGTATGAGACTATAGTTTTACCAACGCTCTTATATGGTTGTGAAGCGTGGGTGATGAATGTTGCAAACGAGGAGAAGGCTGGAGGCAGTGGAGATGTCATGTCTGAGGGCAATGTGTGGTGTGAATATAATGCAGAGAATTCGTAGTTTGGAAGTTAGGAGGAGGTGCGGGATTACCAAAACTGTTGTCCAGAGGGCTGAGGAAGGGTTGTTGAGGTGGTTCGGACATGTAGAGAGAATGGAGCGAAACAGAATGACTTCAAGAGTGTATCAGTCTGTAGTGGAAGGAAGGCGGGGTAGGGGTCGGCCTAGGAAGGGTTGGAGGGAGGGGGTAAAGGAGGTTTTGTGTGCGAGGGGCTTGGACTTCCAGCAGGCATGCTTGAGCGTGTTTGATAGGAGTGAATGGAGACAAATGGTTTTTAATACTTGACGTGCTGTTGGAGTGTGAGCAAAGTAACATTTATGAAGGGATTCAGGGAAACCGGCAGGCCGGACTTGAGTCCTGGAGATGGGAAGTACAGTGCCTGCACTCTGAAGGAGGGGTGTTAATGTTGCAGTTTAAAAACTGTAGTGTAAAGCACCCTTCTGGCAAGACAGTGATGGAGTGAATGATGGTGAAAGTTTTTCTTTTTCGGGCCACCCTGCCTTGGTGGGAATCGGCCGGTGTGATAATAATAAAAAAAAAAAATAATCTATATTAACATAAAATAAGACAATTAATGTACCAAACAGTGATTATTATTACGTAGTATTACTATGACATCATGAGTAGAGAGAGACTTAGTGATTTTAATGTGTACCTGCATGCCAACACAGTGTGTAAGTATATTTAGGTACAGGTACACACAAGCATAATTATCAAAGTACATACAAAATACGCAATACCTTTAAAACACTTGAAATTTCGGAAAGTTTCCAGACATAATAGATGTGCTCACGGAGAATGTAAACAAACCGGGTGGCGCACGCCATATTTGAAAGACCGCTTGCCGTATAGCAAATTTTGGTCATAATTTGAAATCGCCGTATTAGCGGAACGCCGTAAGGCGAAATGCCGTAAGGTGGGGCCCTACTGTATTTGGCTGCCTTTTTTTTTCTTCTTCTTCAACAAGTCGGCCGTCTCCCACCGAGGCAGGGTGACCCAAAAAGAAAGAAAATCACCAAAAAGAAAATAATTTCATCATCATTCAACACTTTCACCACACTCACACATAATCACTGTTTTTGCAGAGGTGCTCAGAACACCACAGTTTAGAAGCATATACGTAAAAAGATACACAACATATCCCTCCAAACTGCTGCCAGTTAACATAAATAAAATATTCATACACAGAGTTTTATCAGTACATACTGTACAGTATTTAATAAACATTGAACTTACTAAAGCAGAAGGCTGACAAGGAGAGTCTTATTGACCGAGCTCCAGTGTTGAAGGACAAAGCTGAGGTGCTCTCCGAGGAGTCTTTAAAACCACCTCAGATAGTTCCTGCTGTAGAAGCACCACCTGTGGTAAGTGACTCGGGCATCATGCACTGATCTTCATGATATACAAAATATTGTTTTAGAACAAATGTGTAGTTACAGCATTGTGTACAGTAGACTACTATGTATCAAGTGAGTTATATTCTTGAAATCATCACTATAGGTGATAATGCAACATGTGATGTGAACAACTGGGGGAAAATTGGGTTACAATCTTGAGACCTTCAAAATAAATAAAGTTTTTATAAATTCTTAATTCTTCAAAAAATATTTTCTTTTTGCAATGTCTTTGATGAGCGAATTGATTTATGGCCAAAACTGTTGTCCAGAGGGCTGAGGAAGGGTTGTTGAGGTGGTTCGGACATGTAGAGAGAATGGAGCGAAACAGAATGACTTCAAGAGTGTATCAGTCTGTAGTGGAAGGAAGGCGGGGTAGGGGTCGGCCTAGGAAAGGTTGGAGGGAGGGGGTAAAGGAGGTTTTGTGTGCGAGGGGCTTGGACTTCCAGCAGGCATGCGTGAGCGTGTTTGATAGGAGTGAATGGAGACAAATGGTTTTTAATACTTGACGTGCTGTTGGAGTGTGAGCAAAGTAACATTTATGAAGGGGTTCAGGGAAACCGGCAGGCCGGACTTGAGTCCTGGAGATGGGAAGTACAGTGCCTGCACTCTGAAGGAGGGGTGTTAATGTTGCAGTTTAAAAACTGTAGTGTAAAGCACCCTTCTGGCAAGACAGTGATGGAGTGAATGATGGTGAAAGTAGTAAAACAATGTGACTTATAGTACAATACTTCTTACCTTAAATTCTGGTTGCTGGAGCATGATGAGCTTGAAAGTCAGTAGAGATAGTTGCTGTGGCTTTAGTGGGCCAAGGTGGATGACTTGAGCTCTTGGGATAAAGTGGATGGCTAAGGTTCTGTAGATGAGGTGGATGGCTGGAGTTCACGGGCCAAGATGGATGATTGCCATTTCCACACACAGTAATTTTTATATCTGGGTTTACCACAGATTAAGTGTTAAACCATCCTGGAGTAAACAAACACTTGTGTAGGTTTTGTGGTCAGCTCACACACTGTTTTATAGTAAGATGCAGCTTTCTCCTTAATCATCAGGAAATTAAAAGGGGCACTTTTCTTTGGATTCTGCTGAATCCACACAATCAGCAGCTTTTCAGTCATATTTAGCTGTATTGACCTCTTTTTTCATTATTTCCAGCAGGTCACATTCAAGGTTACTCATTACATAAGCTCTTATCTGCACTTTGTCTCAGATTGAAAAAAATTGGTTCACTTTCCACCAACAATGCACTACTTTTAAGTGCTATAAGTCAGTTAATTGCCCTCAATTTTTTCACGAGGCATAGTTTCACACCTAAACTTATTGGCACATTTAGCATCGCTTGTATTGCTGTTTTGTGCATTGGTTAATATCCAGACTTGAGAAGGGATAATGAAAAGATTGAATTTTTTTCCTGGACGAACAGGCCATATACCACCAAGGCAGGGTGACCTAAAAAGAAAAATTTAAGTTTTTCCTTTTTAAATTTATTAATTTATACAGGAGAATCGGGTTACTAACCTCTTGCTCCCAGCATTTTAGTCACTTCATATGACATGCATGGCTTATGGAGGAAGAATCTTTTCCACTTCCCCATGGAAATAAGAGGTAATAAAGAAGAAAATAATAGAAAATCCAGATAGGTGTGTAAAAATATGTGCATGTACATGCATGTGAAGTGTGACCTAAGTGTAAGTAGAAGTAACATGATATGCCTGTTATCCCATGTGTTTGTGAGACAAAAAAAAAAAAAGACACCAGCAATTTTTTATTAACACACTGGCCGATTCCCACCAAGGCAGGGTGGCCAGAAAAAGAAAAACTTTCACCATCATTCACTCGATCACTGTCTTGCCAGAAGGGTGCTTTACACTACAGTTTTTAAACTGCAACATTAACACCCCTCCTTCAGAGTGCAGGCACTGTACTTCCCATCTCCAGGAGTCAAGTCCGGCCTGCCGGTTTCCCTGACTCCCTTCATAAATGTTACTTTGCTCACACTCCAACAGCACGTCAAGTATTAAAAACCATTTGTCTCCATTCACTCCTATCAAACACGCTCACGCATGCCTGCTGGAAGTCCAAGCCCCTCGCACACAAAACCTCCTTTACCCCCTCCCTCCAACCTTTCCTAGGCCGACCCCTACCCCACCTTCCTTCCACTACAGACTGATACATTCTTGAAGTCATTCTGTTTCGCTCCATTCTCTCTACATGTCCGAACCACCTCAACAACCCTTCCTCAGCGCTCTGGACAACAGTTTTGGTAATCCCGCACCTCCTCCTAACTTCCAAACTACGAATTCTCTGCATTATATTCACACCACACATTGCCCTCAGACATGACGTCTCCACTGCCTCCAGCCTTCTCCTCGCTGCAACATTCATCATCCATGCTTCACACCCATATAAGAGCGTTGGTAAAACTATACTCTCATACATTCCCCTCTTTGCCTCCAAGGACAAAGTTCTTTGTCTCCACAGACTCCTAAGTACACCGCTCACCCTTTTCCCCTCATCAATTCTATGATTCACTTCATCTTTCATAGACCCATCCGCTGACACGTCCACTCCCAAATATCTGAATACATTCACCTTCTCCATACTCTCTCCCTCCAATCTGATATCCAATCTTTCATCACCTAATCTTTTTGTTATCCTCATAACCTTACTCTTTCCTGTATTCACTTTTAATTTTCTTCTTTTGCATACCCTACCAAATTCATCCACCAACCTCTGCAACTTCTCTTCAGAATCTCCCAAGAGCACAGTGTCATCAGCAAAGAGCAACTGTGACAACTCCCACTTTATGTGTGATTCTTTATCTTTTAACTCCACGCCTCTTGCCAAGACCCTTGCATTTACTTCTCTTACAACCCCATCTTTAAATATATTAAACAACCACGGTGACATCACACATCCTTGCAATTCTGTCATGTAAAACCAAGACAGGTTTCCATTTCACACTCGCTTGGCAGGACAGTAGTACCTCCCTGGGTGGTTGCTATCTACCAACCTACTACCTAGAAGATTCAAAATAGACTGATAAATATGAGTTGAGTCTGGTATTGGACACTTGAAGGTAATTGATGGGTGGGTGTTGTTTACATCAGTGGGTGATGATGCTAAGCCTACTTAAAAAACTGGCTTTGCCGAAAGTGCAAGGGACAGCACAGGTAAAATATCCCATCGGCATGAAAAATAGTCACTTACGGTGAAATGTGGTGATATAAAATTTCAGATTGTGATATATTGGCATATTGGTGCATGGTAGAGTGAAACATGGCAGTCTACTGTACTATAGATAAATTATTGGATATTCATCTCTTTGCATGCTCTTTATAATGAAATACAGCCAGTTTTGAAGTATTGTGTCTCAGATATATACATGCCTATAAATTGATTGAACTTTATAACTTCAGTATTTACACTAAGAAAATTTATTATTTTTGTAGCTGACAAGTAAGGATCTGCGCGATGTGGAAGAAGCCATTGAAACTTTAGGTGTAGAAAAGCGGAAGTTGATAATCGAGGAAAAAGAGTTATCAGAACTGAAGAGTGAGTTAGCTGATTATCAGGAGGATGTTGAAGACTTTGAAAAGGTAAGTGTGGAATTAGCTGACAGTGTATTTTTAATGTGGGGAATAATTAAAATTAGTAATCAGTTTTTTTGCTGCTGTTCAGAGGAGAAAGGTTTTGCTGGTGTGGCAATATTAGTCTCACGTAACGGTAGTCATAATGGTAGTCATAAATGTCTTATGTGCCACTGTATATATTTAAACTTAAATTTTTCTTTTAGTACTTGCTCTATGTACCTTGTTGCTAGAGATGCGAGGTTATAAAAAAAAATAAATTAATATTGCCAGACAAACAACTAGCCATTGCATGTGGTAACCTCATTTCTTTTGTGATAAAGGAACAAGACTGTGATAATAGGTGAGAAAAAGACAAGAATTGGAAGGGCTGTATATTTTTATGCAAAATTCAGCTTGTGTAAATTATATTAATATGCTGCATATCTCTGTTCTGTTTCTCAGAATTTGTGAAGTGGTTTAGCAGGCACTGAACAGTTACTGTATTTAAAATGCTTTAGAATAAAGATGGTATTCAAGCAGTGGGTTGTAGTAAGTGTTTATGCACCTGGGGTAAAAAGTATGGATGGGGGAGGTAGGTATTTGGTGAATGTTTAGGGAGCACTAAGCCAAGTGAAAATAATAAGTGGGGTGATGACCCCTAAGTGCTAAAGTATGAGAGACTTGTTGCTGGTATAGAAAATAAGTGTGGGGTGTCAGGGGTAAATGACAAAGGAAGGCCCCCAATTTGAATTCTGCATAGAAAAAGGTTTAAAGAAGTACTTATTTATCCTCTTTTTCTACAAAAGATATGATAAAGGGAGTAGCTATAGCAGTTTGATAGACTAAGGTTTATAGAAAGGTTATTAGGTAGACTTCTGGAAGCATTTATGTGAACAATATTTAGATAGCTGTAAAGAACTGTTTAGTTATGGTTAGAAAAGGCAGATGATAGGGCAGATAGGGAAATAATGTGGCAAGAGTTGCAAATGAATGGAATACATGGTAAGTTACTAGAAACAGTGAAGAGTGTTTATGCAGAATGAGGTGCAGGTTAGGGTTTGTTGGAGGGGGAGGGGGGGATCTAGTTACTGGTGACAGGGATGTGTGATATCACTTTGGTTGTTTAACATACTTATAGAAGGGGTTGTAAAAAGTAAATTCTTGGGTGTTGAAGTGAGAGATTAAAAGATGGTGAATCTGATACAGTGTAGGAGTTGTCACAGATACTATTTGCTTATAACTCAGTTCCTCTGGAAGATTTTGATGATAAGTTGTAAAGGTTAGTGAATGAATGTGGAAGGGTATATGAAAGATGGAAATTAAAAGTGAACATAGAATAGTGCATGGTGATGGGGAACAACAAAGAGTTTAGGTGGTGAAATATTGGATATCATAGTGGAGGGAGGGAGTATGAAGGAAGTGGATATGTTTAGATTTTTGGCACTGGACTTGTCTACAGATGAAAATTGAAGTGAACCATAGAATATACAAGGAGAAAAATGTAGGTGGTGTGTTGAAGGCTTTGTGGAAAGAAAAGTTTATTTCTGCAGGCAGAAAGGCAATTGTATCAACACTTTTATATGGGTTTGAGGCCTGGGTTTTGAATATTGCAGCAAGGAGGAGGTAGAAATAGTGGAGATGTAATATTTGAGAGTAATTTATGGTGTGAATATCATCCAAAGAACTCAAGAGTAGAAACTAGAAGATGGTGTGGAGATGTTAAGATGGTTTTGGTATGTAGAAAGGATGGAGAGAAATCACTCTACCTTGGTGATAGATGACCAGTGAGTTAAAAAACATTGTAATACATATGATAGTATGAAAGATGTAATTTGGGCAGAGTAAGAATGGTGCCAGATCAACCAGGCTGTGATGGATATGTGGGGCAACGGGCCTCCAGCAGCAACAGCCTAGCTTATGGCCGGGCTCCGAGAGTAGTTAAACTCTTGAAACTCTTCAAAGGTAAAGGTTGTCATGTAGGAAGCATCTAAGAGAGGGTTGTAAAGAGAATATGAAAGACAACATTGAAAGGTTGTCTCTTGAATGTATAACAGGTACATGTGATTGGAAGAGAGACCGTATAAGAGACTTGATGTTCTGTTTGAGTGTGAGAAAAGTAATACTTATTGATGGCCTTCTAGAAGGACAAGTAGAGAGGAAGTGATAGTGAATGAATTTTCTTGAATCACTCTATTTCTAGTGAAAAATAAATAGTGGTTTGAAAAAGACTATTGTGAACAATATTTAGTCAAATTCCATTGTTCTATATTGATGAATGAATTGTGATAATTGCAAAAATTTGGCTGACATCATTGATATTTACAGGCCTTGGGTGAGGCTGATGTTAATAAGGAGCAGCTTCGAGAAAGTAAAGCTGCTAAACGACTCTTTGTTAGAGTAAATAAAATGATCAATAAGATTGAGCCGGTTCTTGAAAGCCTGAAGAAGGAGAAGGACTACCGTCAGAAAATTGTTGATGCTGGCGAAGCTAAGGTTCAAGACAAGTAAGTCTGAAATAATTTATATATGTAATACATTGGTGATGCACTTTGTGTGTGTGTGTGTGTGTGTGTGTGTGTGTGTGTGTGTGTGTGTGTGTGTGTGTGTGTGTGTACTCACCTAATTGTACTCACCTAATTGTGGTTGCAGGGGTCGAGACTCAGCTCCTGGCCCCGCCTCTTCACTGATCGCTACTGGATCCTCTCTCTCTCTGCTTCCTGAGCTTTGTTATACCTCTTCTTAAAACTATGTATGGTTCCTGCCTCCACTACTTCACTTGCTAGGCTATTCCACTTGCTGACAACTCTATGACTGAAGAAATACTTCCTAACGTCCCTGTGACTCGTCTGAGTCTTCAGCTTCCAGTTGTGACCCCTTGTCCCTGTGTCCCTCTCTGGAACATCCTATCTCTGTCCACCTTGTCTATTCCCCACAGTATCTGTATGTCATTATCATGTCTCCCCTGACCCTTCTGTCCTCCAGTGTCGTCAGTCCGAATTTCCCTTAACCTTTTCCCCGTACGACATTCCCTTGAGCTCTGGGACTAGCCTTGTTGCAAACCTTTGTACTTTCTCTAACTTCTTGACGTGCTTGACCAGGTGTGGGTTCCAGACTGGTGCTGCATACTCCAGTATGGGCCTAACATACACAGTGTACAGTGTCTTGAACGATTCCTTATTTAAGGTATCGGAACGCTGTTTTCAGGTTTGCCAGGCGCCCGTATGCTGCAGCGGTTATTTGGTTGATGTTTTGCCTCCGGTGATGTGCTCGGTGTTATGGTCACCCCAAGGTCTTTCTCCCTGAGTGAGGTCTGTAGTCTTTGTCCACCTAGCCTATACTCTGTCTGCGGTCTTCTTTGCCCCTCCCCAATCTTCATGACTTTGCATTTGGCTGGATTGAATTCGAGAAGCCAGTTACTGGACCACATGTCCAGCCTCTCCAGGTCTCTTTGCAGTCCTGCCTCATCCTCATCCGATTTAATTCTTCTCATCAACCTCACGTCATCTGCGAACAGGGACACTTCAGAGTCTATTCCTTCCATCATGTCGTTCACATATATCAAAAATAGCACTGGTCCTAGAACTGACCCCTGTGGGACCCCCGCTCGTAACAGGCGCCCACTGTGATACCTCTTCACGTACCATGACTCGTTGCTGCCTCCCTGTCAGGTATTCCCTTATCCATTGCAGTGCCCTTCCTTTTATGTGTGCCTGATCCTCCAGCTTCTGCACTAATCTCTTGTGGGGAACTGTGTCAAAGGCCTTCCTGCAGTCTAGGAAAATGCAATCTACACCCACCCCTCTCTCTCGTGTCTTACTTCTGTTACCTTGTCATAAAACTCCAGGAGGTTTGTGATACAAGAATTTGCCTTCCATGAACCCATGCTGGTTTTCATTTATAATCTTGTTCCTTTCCAGGTGTTCGACCACTCTCCTCCTGATAATCTTCTCCATGACTTTGCACACAATACATGTCAGAGACACAGGTCTGTAGTTTAGTGCCTCGTTTCGTTTCCTTTCTTAAATATGGGACTACATAGCTGTCTTCCATTTCTCAGGTAGTTGCCCCAGTTTCAAGGGATGTTTGAAGATTGGGGGTTAGAGGCACACACAGCATCTCTGCTCCTTCTCTAAGGACCCATGGGAGATGTTGTCCGGTCCCATCGCCTTTGAGGTGTCAAGGTCCTTAAGAGCTTCTTCACCTCCTCCTCAGTTGTTCGTATGTCATCCCAACACTTGTTGGTATATTCCCTCTTGATGTTCCCCTTCTGTCTGTCTTCCCACAGCCCTTCCTGTCTCTACTGTAAAAACTTCCTTAAAATCTCCTGTTCAGCTCCTCACATACCTCCTGATCATTCTTGTGAGTTCTCCACCTTCTGTCCTTAATCTAAATCACCTGGTCTTTGACTGTTGTCTTCCTCCTGATGTGGCCATTACAACATTTTCGGGTCAGTCTTGATTCTCGATGCTATGTCTTTTTTCAACTGTCGCTGGGTCTCTCCTCCTTACCTGTGCGTACTCATTCCTGGCTCTGCAACTGATCTCCCTATTTTCGTGTGTTCTCTGCCTTTCTGTACTTTTTCCATTCTCTATTGCACTTTGTTTTTGCCTCCTTACACCGTCGGGTAAACCAGGGGCTCGTTCTGGTCTTCCCGTTGTTACTGTTGCCCTTGGGAATGAACCTTTCCACGCCTCCTTGCATTTTGTTGCTACATATTCCATCATTTCATTTACTGGCTTTCCTGCCAGTTCTCTGTCCCACTGGACCTCCCGCAGGAAGTTCTTCAACCCTATGTATGTCCCCCTCTTTTATAGTCAGCTTTTTCCCATTCTACTCCTGTTTTTCTCTTCCACTTGCAGCTCTACTATGTATTCAAAGCACAGAACCACGTGGTCGCAAAGCCCTAGGGGACTCCATACTTGATGTCCTCAATGTCTGAGCTGCCCAGGTGAACACAAGGTCCAATCTTGCTGGTTCATCCTCCCCTCTCACTCTGGTAGTGTCCTTAAAATGTTGGTGCATGAGGTTTTCCAGCACCACGTCCAACATCCTGGCTCTCCATGTTTCGGGACCCCCATGTGGCTCCAGGTTTTTCCCAGTCAATCTCCCTGTGGTTGAAATTCCCCATAACCAGCAACTTTGCTCTGTTTTGGAGTGAGCTCTTCTTGCCACCTCAGCAAGTGTGTCCACCATTGCTCTGTTGCTCTCTTCATATTCCTCTCTTGGCCTCCTGCAGTTCTGTGGTGGATTATACATCACTGCAATGCCCAAACTTTGTGTTCCCCAGACTGAAGTGTACCTGCTATGTAAGTCTCTTTCTCCCGTCTCATCTATTCCTTCCATTTTCTCGAATTTCCATCTTTTTTTTTTACGAGCAGAGCAACCCCACCTCCCCCCCCTGCCCCTTCTATTTTTCCCCTCATGATCTGGTACCCTGGTGGAAATTGCATCTGTTATTGTCTCCATGAGTTTTGTTTCTGTAACTTTCTATGATGTCTGGGGGCTTCTCATTTGATTCTTTCTTGCCATTCCTCATGTTTTATTTCGTTAATCCAACTGCATTTGTGTAAACCCAAAACCCTTTAACTTCGTTCTAATACTGTAACTTTTGGTGGGGGGGGGTGGGAAAAAGAGGGATCGGTTTTGTGATGGTTGGTTTGGATTGTTTCAGTTTTCCTTGGGGGGGTTTGTGGCTTTGGGGTCCCCTTCTGCAGGTGTTTTTTGGGGGGTGCGCTTGTCCTTCCATTTGATCCTGGTTATTCTGCTCTCCTTTTTCATTTCCTCCCCATTTTTCCTTTCGTTTTTGAACTCTCTCTTTCATTGTCTTCCTTTCGTCCTGTGTTCTGTCTCAGTCGAGGTACACACTCTGGAACTCCTGCTTTTCCTCTCAGCCTGCTTTCTCCTGCAGGATCGTGGTTCGGGTTGATTCTGCCTTGAAAATTACTTGAGAGGCCGATTTCCTTTTCTTTGTGAACCACCCAATTCTCCGAAAATTTGCCACCTGGGGTCATGTCCCCCTGCCTATCACCTTCATGATATCTTTTAATCACTTTTTTCTCCTCCTGCTTTCTTTCATCATAAGTTTTTCCCTTAGCTTCGTCTAGCCCATAGACAAACACGGGTCTCTCCCCTTTTCCCCCTCCCACTGTGACTCCCATTGCATCCTCTGATGTGTTTTAGTTCCTTCCCGTGGAGTGTTCCTTCCTTCAGTCCCTTCCCTAGTTATGGCCCCTATGCTTCTTGTTTATCCTTCCTGCTCACCTGCTCCTGGCCCCCACAGGTATCTGGTAAGGTCCTTGCACATGTCCTAGTTCCTTCAATGTCTTGCAACCTCTCATTCTGTCCTAGTGTGCTCCCCGTCTTTGTTTTGGCCCCATGTGGGTTTGAAGGACCTCTGCATACAGTTTAGTTTCCATGCTTCCTTCGGACCTGTTTGTCTGTGTTCGATGTAGCCATTGCCGATGCTACTTCTGTAATATCTTTGTCTCTGTGCTGTTTTCAGATGTCTCAGCTCCTCTTCTAATCTCTCTTTTGATTTCTGCTGCTGTGGCCTGTTGCTTTCCACCTTCTGCATTCTGCTGCTAACCTCTCTTCCATCTTCCTTTCCAGCTCATCTAGTTCTCCTTCCCCAGTCTCCTTCCCTTTTTTGACTCTAAAACCTCCCATTCCTCCCTTTCAGATTCGTCCTTGGAGCCCCTTGTCCTCATCCTGGTTTTGGGGGAGGGGAATAGATGGTTAGGAGAGGGGATTTGGGTGGTTGTGGGGGAGGGGAGGATGGTTATTGGAGGGGTAGAGATAGTTGGGGGAGGGAGTTAGATGGTTTGGGGGAGAGAGGGGATGGGTGGTTATGAGGGAGGGGGAGGATGGTTATTGTAGGGGGGGAGGTGTTGGGCGGGGGTTAGACGGTTTGGGGAGGGGTTAGGTGGTTTGGGGGAGGGTAGGGCTAAGGAGGTGGTTAGGGAAGGGTGGGGACGTGTTGTGTTCAAGTGTTTGTGTCAAGTGGTGGAGGGTGTGTTGTGTGTGTGTGTGTGTGGGGTGTGTACTCACCTATTTGTACTCACCTATTTTTGGGTTTCGGGGTCGAGTCCTAGCTCCGGCCCCCCTCTTCACCGGTTTGCTACTGGGCCCCCCCCTCCCTTTCCCCGCTCCATGAGCTTTATCAAACCCCGTCTTAAAACTGTGTATGGTTCCTGCCTCCCAAACTACGTCATTTTCTAGGCTTTTCCACTGCCTTACAACTCTATACTGAAGAAATACTTCCTACTATCTCTCTGACTCATTTGTGTCTTCAACTTCCAATTGTGGCCTCTTGTTTCTGTGTCCCCTCCCTGGAACATCCTGTCTTTGTCCACCTTGTCTATTCCACGCAGTAATTTTATATGTCGTTATCATGTCTCCCCTGACCCCTCCTGTCCTCCAGTGTCGTCAGGGGCCGATTTCCCTTAATCTTTCTTCATAGACATTCCCCTTAGCTCTGGAACTAACCTTGTCGCAAACCTTTGTA